TCACCTGCCTTCCATTCCCGCCTGACCCTCCAGCGACACCCTCTAGCTTTCCCGTCACCTGCCTTCCATTCCCACCTGGCCCTCCAGCGACACCCCCTAGCTTTCCTGTCACCTGCCCTTCCATTCCTGCCTGGCCCTCTGGTGACACCCACTAGCTTTCCCGTCACCTGCCCTCTGCAAGGTCCAAGGTGAGTACAGCATTTAATCTTCTGTTCTAGAGGCAAGCATTTTCCGACCATCACATAAATTAACTCCACAGTGCAGAGTCTGAACCCCAGAGCAAGCAAATGGTGAGCGGCTCTCTGCTAGGGCAACCCAGCACGCTCCCCGGGAGCAGGAGCCACTGTCACAAGTCCCTCGCTGAAGGAAAGCATGAAGGAAGCACAGACTTTCAGAGTGGAGCGAGACTGCACACAGGGACAGCCCGGCAAGCGCGCCGCTCACTTCAGCTGGCTCTGCATTTCCAAACAAGATGAGATCGAGGACTGAGTCATGATTTCAGGTACTTAATCAACAAAACTTTGTCCACTTTTTCTTCTACTCAGAAAAACACAGGACCACCTCTTACAGAATGTCTTCCCTGGCCAAAAGTGGATTTCCCAGATCCTGAACACGTTTACTTCTCAAGGATTCAATTTCATCTGCACACTTAGCTTCCTGAGATGCACCTGGACCACGTCACCCACGACGTGCATCCCTCCCACACATCCTGCCACACATCTGGCCACACCATGGGCGTGGGGATGGGCCAGATGTCAGTGGCAAAGTTCTCGAGACAGACAGGACCAGCACATCCCCATCAGCCCAGGACGGAGGGAATAACCACGCCCGCCGCGGGGCTGGGCTCGGTGGGTCTGGGACGCCCTCGGTGCACAGCAATGCCACACAGGATCAGTCATTTGGAGATCTGAGCACAAGACCCGGATGCTGGAGCTGAGGCCTGCAGGAGAAGCCAAGAAGCCACCCTGAAGGAAGGCACTGGGAGAGAAGGAACCGCCTCCCTATAGCCAGCGTCTTCCTATATTGTCATTTTTTTCTGATTCTTCATGAAGAATATGTATTTTCACATCATACCTCCTGTTCATGTCCTATCAACAAACTTTGTTTTTAAAATATAGTGACAGCCAAACAAGACACCTCTGATAACTAGGCCCTGAATACCACTGCATTTGTTCATTTTGCCTAAGACATGTCCTGCTTCAAGGTTGTATATGGTGAGATTTTTGGACTTATGTGTAAACATAAGAAGTGTATAACTCTTTATGCCTATTTTTGAAATATATTCTAATTTTTAAATGTTTTTTATCATATTCTGTAGGGACTTAAAGTTCAACATATCAATACTTGATGAAAAATGCCTATTCCGTGTTATGTCTAAGATGTCTGATATGCAGACAGATAGTGAGGCTAAGCTTAACAGCCTAAGTTGTATGGTAATAACAATAAGCTTGTCTTCTGGATGGTTAATAACCTAAGTTTGCAGACCAAAATTAGAGAAA